AGGAGAAGATGAAACAGCTGAACCATCCCGAAGTCCCTCTCCCGCGGTCACGACTCACGCGACCGCGGCCAACAACCCTCCAGCCGCGGTCGTGAGCCTCCTACCCGCGGCAAACCACTCCCCACCCATGGTCGTGCAGCCTCCACCCGCGGCAAATAGTCGGTCAGATACGTTTCAGCCCTTTTCTATTCTTACAGGTCAATGTTCATTTGATACATCTGCTGGGACAGTCAAAACTCCTTTTCATGAGCAAACGGTGTACGCTATCAGCTCCAAAACCTCTAAAGAAGAAAATGAGGTATTTCCCTGCAACATAGTTTTAGCATATGAGGATGAATATGAAGGGCAGTACCTCGAAGATGAAGACTATCGTCTGTTCATAGAAGGAGGCAATCCAGACAAAATGGTGGAATTAGGAGCACCAATCTCCAGGGAAAAACTCATTAAATTCAACAAGTTTGTGAAATCGATCCCTTTTTACACAGGTTTCGATGATATATGGTATCTTGGTTGTTTGCAAGTTTTCTTTAGGTACAGCAAGGAGACAAAAGAGGATATCCGAACCTATTTTGGGAGGGCCAGACGCCTGACTTTCCCAGAACATCACCTGATGCTGCAATCTATTCAATACACCTTCAAAGACCTGAAGACTGCAGCCACTACACCAACAAAATCAGCAAAGAAAAGCTCGACGAATTCAATGATGCAGTCCGAAATTTGCCTGAAGGAATCACATTTGCCAGAGCTTGCAAGGACTTCATGATAGGCCATTACTTCTGTGAGAGCAAGGAATCAATCCCTGAGATAGAAGACTTGTTCAATCATGCCAGAAGAGGTAAACCTGTTTGAACACTTCACAAAATCGAAGGTGTAGGTCAGTTTCTTATCTCTTGTTCTATTAGAGGAGAAATGTTTAAAAACGTGCTTTGTGATTCTAGAGCTTGTCTTAACATGATGTCCAAGGCAATTGCTTTGAGACTTGGTATTAAATACCTGCGCATGACGAGAGCAAAGATTAGTCTAGCAGATGATTTCAATGCAACACCTCAAGGAATAGCTCATGAAATTTCTTTGAGAATAGGAGATTGCATAGTGCATGTCGACTTCTACATTGTCGAGACGAGAGACGCAACATATCCAGTGATTCTCAGATGGTCTTTTCTAGCAACTTCCGGAGCTATAATGGACTGGCCAAACCGGAGTATTTCGTTTGCTAATATCGACAAAGATGTCTTCACAGAAGCTGTCCCATACAACAGCAAAGCAGGAAAACGTTATGCAACAGAAGAGTTTGAAGAAGAGCTTTGGAGCGACGAAGAACCTGCTAGGCAAAGCAAGGAGATGTCGAAAAAGACTTGTCTCAGGACAAGGTCTTCTTCATTGGACTAAGCCACGTCCAACACCAAAAGTCGAGCTAAACGACTTAAAACAGAAGCGCTTAATGGGAGGCAACCCATTTAGGTATTGTTTTCTTTAGGATTTTTCTTTCTTTTTCTATTGATCTTTTTCTTTTTCTTAGTTTCAGGTGTTTCTTATAAAACAAAAAAGCCAAAAAATCATAAAAACCCGAAAAAAAAAACAAAAAGAAGGATGGTCCCTGACTGCTCGGCCCAGCAGGAACCAAGGAGAACCAGGAACAGGCCGCGACATAAACCCCCGCGGTCGCAGATTTTTCTGACCGCGGGAAACACCTCTTCCTGACCGCGGCCGAGCACCGGTTTGCCGCGGTCGCGTGGCTCCTGACCGCGGCAAATGGTCGTTGAGATCAAACCCGACCCCAAACCGCCCACTTCACCTCATTCCACCTCACCAATCCCCACTCCACCTCATTCATCACCCTCCACCACCTTCATCACCACCTATCACCTTCACAAACCTCTTCGAATGAATCCGGTTCATCTCCACCAGCATCCCGGATCCAGATAAGTTCTCTTTGGCCTTACCAATTCGATTATCTATGCATTTTTCTCATCCAATCTCGACTTGTTTCACACTGAGGACAGTGTGATTTAAGTTTGGGGGAGGATTTCATCCCTTTCTAACCACTTTTCTTTCATGAGTCTTGCATTATCAATGATACGTTTTAAAATGGAATGGTGAACATGAATAAATGATAGTTGACTGTGTGCTTTTACAATGTTCCTAGTGACATGCTCATTCATGATTTAGGACTAGACTAGGCGGTAGCTGACATTTGAAACGAAGTACCCCAGAGGAATTTGAATGATTTCGATTTAGATGAAGGGATACACTAGCTCTGTTTTATTTGGACTTAATTTGGACTTAACTTTCTCATTGAAGCATTAGACCAGGGAAACGAATCATACATTCAGAACTCCTTTATCATTTTACCACTCTCTATTGATCTTGAATGGCTAGTTTATCTTTAGCTAGTTCCCCACCTTAACCAATCCTCTTTCAAACCACATGCACTCTTGTCTTCTATTGTCTTATATGCAGATAAGTACAAAAACGTTGGAGAGAAAGAGGAACGACGCAGTTTTCAGTCACCAAGGACAGAGACCTGCGATTTACCGGAAAAGTTCCCGGAAAGATTCAACTCAAGTGGAAGCTCAGTTTGCCTTAGAAAAATCTCAAATTTTGATACAATCTCGTCATCTAGTCTCTCTCTCTATTTAAAAGGCATTTCCTTTTAAAAAAAAATAAATCAAAAAAAAAAATCCGAAAATAAGAAAAGAAATGAAATAAAAGCCTTAGAGAGTCTAGAGAGGTCGAATTTTAAGTCCCAAGGAAACTGGAGTTCGATTTTATGGAGTTTTAGAGATCATTTTCTGATTCCCAGAAAGAATCTAAGTCTGGGGGAATAGTTGTTCACAACAAAGGAGGAAGGATTATGCAACAACATTTGGCAAGAAGAAGTGACTGAAAATTGCGGTCATCAACAGGTCCTTATCTCTCTTGCGGTTTTGCATATTATCTTGCATCCTCCAGATTCATCATGTAACCCAAAACATTGAACTCCACCACTTATACAGCCCTTTAATGCCAAACGCCGTCTACCCTGAATGATGTCTTTAATGAGAACTCACTATTGAACTTAATGAATGTAGAGAGCTAGTTGACTGGAATCAATATTTAGATTGTTTAAATTTTGCATGACGGAAAAAGTGGACTAGTATCTTTTGTGTATTGGTGAGAATTTTCTAGATGAGAATTTTCTAGACTAAGTTGTGGATTGATGCACTATCTTTGGTCCTAGTTTAGGAGTTCATATCTCTGAGATTTGTGCATTCCCTATTTTTGTTTTCACTTAACCAGTTTAGGCTTTTGCTTTGATTGAGGACAAACAAAGGTTTAAGTCTGGGGGAGTTGATAACACCGTATTTTGACCACTTTTATGGATCGTTTTGAAATACTTTTTCTGTGTTTTTAATTGCTTTTAAGTACTTTTATTACGTTTTTCTAGTATTTGTAGTTCCAAGACTCTTTTCAGGTAACTTTTGGAAAAGCTTAACAAAATGGATAGAAAACCAGATTTCAGCTCAGAGTTAAACTGTCAGAAGTTCACCCCCGATTAAAGGCCTTCTCACCGTCTGATCCAGCTCAAATTTGGAGATCTTAAAGATGGAAGTATCAGCTTTCCAGCACACTTTACAGTTTGGCAATCCAACGGTTCAATCAAAAGATACGCGAAGAGCAAGATGTCCTGTAAACCAGCCGGCAAGCGTTTCCACCCGCGGCCAACAGACCAATCCCTGCAGTCACGCACATCCCGACCGCGGCCAGCCACCCATTTCCCGCGGTCACGCACATCCCGACCGCGGCCAGCTAACTCCGACTTTGAAGGCCCATTTCTAAAGCTCGTATCATTTTTCCAGTCTCAATTCCGGAACCCTAGACACCAGAGAGTATTGGAGACTATAAATACATGTCATTTAGGTCGTTTTTTTAAAAGAGAAGAAGATAGACGAAATACTTTACAGAAATTTTACTTTAAGCTTTGTTTTTAGGTTTTAGGGAGAGAGAGATCTGTCTCTTGAACCCTTGTTCTTTCTTTTTCAATTTCGGTTTCTATTCTACTTTTTAATACTATGTTTTTGATTTCGTTTATCATGTCTGAGTAGTTTTATTGTTGGGTCTAAGGAATTTTCGATGGGGTTATATATGTTCGGTGAGGATTCCATGAGCTTTTAAGCCGAATCTTAGAAATTTTTCTTCTGAATTCGTTTTTACTGCATGAGAGTAGCGTCATGAACTACAATCTGATCCAGATGCTTGGTGACATGAAAGTGTTCATCCGGTGTCAGATCTAGTTTGGGAGAGCAAAACAAACATAGGAGTGGAAACCTACCTATGGGCGATTTGTGAATGCTGACGAGTCTTAAACATAATGCATCTCTTCTTTTCCAAGGCCAGAGTGGAAACCTACTGGTCAGGGTTGACAGAGATAGTTGTCTATGATCACGACAGTGGCGTATTCATACGTCCGTGACTCCAGTTCGAAAATTTTAAGCTAAGATCTTATCAAATTTACTCTCTAGCAATATTTTGAATCGTTCATACCCCTGAGAAAACTTCCTTGAACCCCATCGCCTCTTTCTTATAGATTTACACCGATTTTCATTCAAGCTTTAGTCTAGTTTATTTACTCTTTCAATCGATTTTTATTTGAGCCATTAGGTTAGCTGTTTTTCCCGTTTTTACCCGTTTTCATTAAGTTTAGTTATTAGGTCATTTTAATTCCCATGTTTTCTTTCTAAATTTTGTTTTTACATTTTAAACACACCACCAAAACCCTCACAAGAATCGTTTGGTTCTAGACTTCCTTACTTCATATTTCTTTCGAAGTCTTTTGCAGAAAAGATCCTCCTTCCCTGTGGATTTGATCCCTAAGTACTACAATCGATCAGTTGTGCACTTGTGGCTATTGATTTCATTTAGGGTAAAACTTGACACCCTCGACACGACACCGCATCAAGTTTTTTGGCGCCATTGCCGATCAACCAACACCACAAATTCATTTTACTTGAAAATTTTCAATGGATCCACCACAATATCCTTTTGATGTTGAAGCTTACAAAATGCAGTATGAAATTGAAGAGAAATATATCATCAGCCGGTTTAGGGAGCGTCGAAAGAAAATAGAGGAATATTATCCACCTCGTAGCAAGAGAAAATATTTCAAGAGAGATCATGCAGCAGCAAATCAAAGGCTGATTGACGACTACTTTGCCAATCAACTTACATATGACAATGCAATGTTTCATCGGTGATTCTGGATGCGAGAACATGTTTTTCTTTGGATCGTTGAGGACCTATCAAGCAGTGTTTAGTACTTTTAATAATTATTTGACGCAGCCAAGAAAGAAGGTATATCTCCATTGGCAAAATGTACCATGACCATGCGAATGTTAGCATATAGTGTGGCGGCTGACGTGATGGATGAATACATCAAAATTGGAGGTACTAAAGCTTTGGAGTGCTTGCGGAGATTCTGTAAGGATATCATACAATTATATGAGGCAGTGTATCTTAGAGCCCCAACTCAAGAAGACCTGAAGAGAATTTTGCATGTTAGTGAAATGAGAGGGTTCTCGGGGATGATTGGGAGTATTGACTGGATGCACTGAGAATGGAAAAATTGTCCTACAGCGTGAGAAGGATAATTTACTCGAGGAGATAAGGGAACCACTATTTTTATCCTTGAAACATTTGCATCTCATGATATATGGATTTGGCATGCCTTTTTTGGATGTCCGGGCACATTGAACGATATAAACGTTTTAGATCGTTCACCAGTGTTTGATGATGTTGAACAGGGAAAAACTCCAAAAGTGAGCTTCTTTGTAAACCAACTCCATATAATATGACATTCTATCTAGTAGACAGTATTTATCCTTCTTATCCTACTTTTGTCAAATCGATTAGGCTTCCTCAAAGTGAACTAGACAAGTTCTTTGCACAAGTTCAAGGGATGTCGGAAGGACATGTTGCAGGTTTGATTTAAAATCATTCGCGAACCAGCTCACATGTGGGACATAGCCGATTTGGCTATCATTATGAGATCATATATCATATTACATAATATGATTGTTGAGGATGAACGAGATACATTTACTCAACACTAGACCGATTATGATCAATCTGAGGCAAGTGGATCTAGTACACCGTAACCATTCTAGACCGAGGTGCTACCTGCATTTGTGAATCATGTGCGTCTTAGATCCGAGATACGTGATTCAAGTGTACGTCACGAATTACAAGCAGATCTAGTCAAACACATATGGGCAAGATTTGGAATGTTTCGTGATTAATATTTTTTTTTTAAGTTTGTGAGTTGAATCTGTCATACTAATTTAGTTATGTATGTTTTTTTTTTGTGCTTATTCATTGTATTCTGTTGCATTTTAAGTTCATTGTAATTTTATTTGTTTTAATAATTGAAACAAATAATTTTATTCGTTTATAGTCCTTATTAATTGAATTTTAAAAGAAAAAAACATATAAAAGAAGAAAGAAAACAGAAAAAAATATTTTCAAAAATTATTAAACTCCTATTTATTTTAACTTAATTTCAAACGATAATTGTTATTAATAATATGGAATCATAAAAACTAAAATATAGAAAGAAAAAATAATGGGGGTAAAATGTTGAATTTTATTAAACAAAACTATTGTAAAGGATGAAAATTGAGTGAATGTTGAATTAATAGGTGGAATAGAGAGAAAATGATGTGAAAAAAGAAAAGAAATGATGTGGAGTATAACTGTATAAGATAGATGTTAATTAAAAAAAATCATTTTACATAGTCTAATAAAAAAAACATTGGAGATTTTAAATATCTGTTCTGGAAAATTTAACAATCTCTCTGAGCTATCAATATGTGTGTCATACGTCATCTATCATCATTTTTCATTTCGTTTATATATTTGTTTTTTCTATCTATTTTTATTGTGAGAGAAAACATGATTCATAATCTGCACCTACACTTCTACAGTGTCTGTATATATATATATAGATATATATATATATATATAGATATATATATATATATATATAGATATATATATATATAGATATATATATACAACAACATGAAACTGATAAGAAGTACAAAATATACTTTGCCTCTAATCCTCCGGCGAAAACATGCTGCAACTTTCGATGTATTAAACTCCGGCTAGAAGCATGTACGAATCAGAATCATCACCAAATTAAAAAGGAAAATGCATCATTAACTCGATCAAAATTGGGAAAATAAAAAAGTATTAAAACTGAAAATGGATATTATTGATTAGCCAAAAACAAAAAAGGAAAACTTATCTCATTGAAAAGTTTACTTATAAAGAGATTGGCCTTCAAAAGGTTTTTAAACTCCTGTGTTGTCGTAAGTCTTGTCTTTACTTCCGACAAAAGTGGCTGCTTCCACATCGATCGGTTCTGTCCAAGAGGTGGAGGAATCTGCTGAGTCTTGTAGACACCCTTCGTTTTGATGACTCGATGGTTGTGTCTCAGGTATCCCAACGAAGAAGAATAAGAAGCAACAAGTCGCTTCTTAGATTTCGTAGACAAGACATGTGCTCTGTTAAGCAATTCTCCCATCATCAAGAAACTTTCTCTGTGTCATGTACTTGGACGTGGCCGTGACGATGAATACTCTCGTGTCAACCGTTGGATTTGTGCTGCAATGGAACGTGGTTGGTTGGAACTACACTTGAACTGTCATCTAATGTTGGTTTAGAGAGAGAGTTGTTAACGAGCAACACACTGGTTAAAGCTCACACTATCCGGTGGATATCCTTTTGAAGTTAAGCAAGTGTTTCTCCCAGCGCTCAAATCACTTTCTCTCGTATCAGTTTTCGGGCTTGGTGATATCTAGTGTTGTCAGCTCATCGATGGCTGCCCTGTACTAGAAGAATTATTCATAGGTTATCATTTTTCGTATCTGCCATGTTTGTTGGTGCGCACTGAATCTGTAACATCCCGACGTTTGGTTAACCAAATATCGGATGTTACCAGTTCCTAATTCCGGTTTTATTAAATTAAACCATCTCTATTTCTTTTTCTTTTTATTTCCTTTTTATTTGGGTTTTTCCTAATTTCTTTCTAAGAGCCCATTAAGCTCAACCCATCTATTTAACCTCTATATAAATACCTAATTAAATCCCTAAAACTTTCATTAAGCTCTTAATCAACCCTAGCCACCTTTTCCTTCTCTCTTTCTCTCCTCCCTGCGCCGAGCTGCTTCCTTTCTCTCTCTCTCTGCGTTTTCTTCTTCTTTCTCTCTCTTGGCTGTGTCTCTCTCTCTCCTTGCCGCGGCCGCCACCATCCTTGATATATCATGGTTTTTATGGTTTTTAACCATGGTATAAGTTCTATTTATAGAGTCTTTTTAGTGTCTTTCGAGTCTTTTGGAGTCTTTTCAGGTCATAGGTACGTTTGGAGCTTAACTGGAGACTTTGGAGCACTTTGGAGCTTAATCAGGATCAAATTCGTCAAGTATGGATTTTGTGCTTTAGTGACGCTCGACACCATGGAGAGTGACGCGCGACACTTGTTGCAGAAATAAGGAAAACGTGATTTTGTTTCCTATTTGAAGAAGGAGTTGGGCCCAAACGTTTTCAAGGAAGCCCAAAACGTGTCTTAGAGATATATATAGGATTTTTATTCCCTTTTTACGTACACCTTAGATTTTCTTAGAGAGAGTTTTTGTTTTTGAGAGTTTTTGGGGAGACAAGTCTGAAACTCTGTTCCGGAGAGAGAAGATTTCGAACCCCTGTTTATTAATCTATTTACTGCTTACTGCAAGCTATTCAATCATGCTTATTGCTTCAATCTCCATGTCTGAGTAGTTTGCTTGTTAGGGTTAGGGTTCTCATAAAGGATTTCATTGGATGTTAGATTGATTGGTTAGTTAGGGTTCATAATCTATTTAGTTCTTCACCATAGGTTGTTCTTAAAGCTAATTCTGGATTGGCCACCTAGAACTTAGATCTTAGGTTGCTTAATTGACACGGAAGTGTAATTGAATAACTGGAAAGAACCTAGGGTGAGCAAAGTAGCTATTCGCAAAGGAATTTGGTTTAGATACTTTGTGAATATATCGAACTTGAGCATTAAAGCTGGTTTAAATCTTTAGGGTTTGCAAAGGAATTTGGAATTCTAGGATTTTGACTTAGATAATTCTCACAACGGAAGTTGGTTAATTATAATTCTGTGATTCGAGTTCAAGAACTGTGCTTAAACCTGAACCCTGACTAATCGATTGATCTGCATGCATTGATTTCCTGAGAAACGCCCTAGACCTAATCCTTATCACATCGAACTTACAAACCGTTTTCATTGCTGCTTTATTTATTTCTGTCGCATTGTTATTTGTTTCACATATTTTGGCTTAGCGTAACTCCATCTACATAAGGTTTATTGAGTGATCTCTTGTCTCTGTGGTTCGACCCCTACATACTACAACTGCACATCTGTGCTCTTGCAGAGTAGCTTAGGGATTAAACTTTGAGCAGATCAAGTTTTGGCGCCGTTGCCGGGGACTTGATTTCGCCATTAAACCTAGTTTTTGAGTTTCGACTAAGTTTTTCGACTAAGTTTTTCGACCTAGTGTCGAGCGACACCACCTTTTTTTTTTATAACCTAGTTTACTTATTTCGTTTTCTCTCTTTGTTTTTGGTGTTTCAGGTCTATGCATACTCGTGGAACCAGGAGCAACAAGGACATCCCGCTAGTGAATTTGAGCAACGAACAGCTAGCTGAGTTAGAGCGAACGAAGCGGAAAGCAAGAGATCCGGCAATGATGGAAAACGCCAATGGACTTGTTCGTGATGATGATGGAACCTGGAGAGACCGAGAGGGTCATCTGTGCAATGCGAGAGGCCAAAGGATTGATGGAGATGGTAACATCATTCCACCAGCTCCTTTACCAGTGGATGTTGTTGACCAGAATCCACCACCTGCACCGCGTGGGAATGCTGCGATCGTTCCACAACAGAGGAACGTTCCAGAGGATCGGAATGCGAGGGAACCTGCACCTGCAGCTGGACGTGGACGAACACTTGGAGACTACAACAGGCCTGAGCAGTTCTATGCAAATCGTTCTGCGATTCGCGCCCCTGCGTTTCAAAGAAACGATTTTGAGCTGAAACCTGTGTACTACACTCTTGTGGGTCAGCATCCTTTCCATGGCCACTCTCATGAGCACCCTATCGATCACATCGAGAGGTTTGAGGACTTGGTCACCAGCATCAAATACAATGGAGTGTCCAACGATTTCCTCCTCTGCAAGCTGTTTCCTTACTCTCTTGCTGGAGAAGCAGCTAACTGGTTGAAGCAGTTGGAGCCAGGATCACTCACTACTTGGGAAGAGACCAGGAATGCCTTCCTGCACAATTTTTTCGATGATGCTAGGTCTGAGGAGTTGAGGACGAAAATTTCAACTTTTTCTCAGGAACCAACTGAAGCATTCAAAGCTTCTTGGGTGCGATTCAAATCGTACCAACGAGACTGCCCCCATCATGGCTTCAGCGATGTGCAATTGTTGGGTATCTTTTTCAGAGGTATCGACTGGAGGTATCAGATGGCTCTTGATGCAGCGAGCAATGGAAACTTCAACACCAGATACCCAGACGAAGCTGTTGAGCTCATCGAAAACTTGGCATCTAGCAATAGTACCAAGAATGCAGACTATCAACGAAGGAAGCAGGCTGGGAACATGGATGGATCGCAAATTGCTGAGGTGAAGGCTAAGCTTGACTCTGTGCATAGCCTTCTTGTGGGTAAGAAATCTGTCAGATACACTGCAGGAGTTCAGAATTTCGGACCAGATGAAGCTTTTGAGGAAGAGGATGTTAACTTCATCAATGGAGCTGGATTTCAGGGTCAGAGATTTGGTTATGGGCAAGGGAACACGAATTACAATGGAAATAAGCAGAGGAGTACCTTCACAGCTAATCAGAACTCTTCTGGTTACAGCTCCAAACCTCAGTACCAAACATCCTACTCCAACAACAGTTTTTCAAGGAACTATGGTTCTCCTCCTCCTCAAACTCTAGATAATGAGGTGAAGTCTATGCTGGAACAGATCTTGGAAGGTCAGCAGAAGATGACAGTGGACTTTAATGGGAAGATTGATGCTATGTATCTGGATCTGAATGGAAAAATTGAAGTTCTGAACATTCATGTCAAGAAGCTTGATACTCAGGTTGCTCAGACTGCAGAGTCTGTAAAAATTCAAGAAGGATTCCTTCCTGGGAAGACTGATACCAATCCTAGGCATTACTGCAGTGCCATCTCGTCAAGGAGTGGTAAAAAGTTGACTCCTGTGCTGAAAAAGGGTGTTTCTGAAGATGAAATCGTGGAGTTTGATGAATCTGAAAAAAATTTTGAAACTGCAGAGCCAGTGTCGAGCGACACCACAACCAGTGTCGCGCGTCACCAATTGCAGAGCAAAGCTAATATTGTTCAAAGTCCGAAATCTACTGAGGAAAAGGTTTACAAACCTAAGGTTCCTTACCCAAGGAGTCCTAGGAAGTCCAAGCAGGAGCTAGATGATGCCAGATGCAAGGCTTTGATGGAGAAGCTTGTGATTGAGATTCCTTTGGTTGATGCTGTGAAGATTGCTCCTACTCTCAGACACTATGTGAAGAAGATGGTGACTAATAATGTGGGTCATGAGGAAGGAGCGATGATGATCTCTGAACATGTCAGTTCTGTGATTCATAATAAGATTCCAGAAAAGCTCTCGGACCCAGGAAGTTTTGTTTTGGACTGCTCTATCTTCTCAGAGAGGTTCAAGAGATCTCTGTGTGATCTTGGTTCGAGTGTCAACCTCATGCCACACTCTGTAGCTGTTAGCCTTGGGATGACTGACTTCAAGCCAACTAAGATCTCTTTGATCCTAGCAGATCGGTCTAAAAGAATCCCAAAAGGTGTCTTGGAAGATGTTCCAATCAAAGTTGGTGATTGCATAATTCCTACAGATTTCGTGGTTCTGCAATATGGAGAGGAACCCAAAGATCCTCTTATCCTGGGAAGATCGTTTTTAGCTACAGCTGGAGCGGTGATTGATATCAAGCATGGTAACCTTGATCTCCACCTGGGAGATACCATCATGACTTTCAAGATGGAGAAACTGAAGGATCCCACCATAGATGGTCAGACATTCCAAGTCACTGCAATACCTGAAGTGATAGTTGGAGATCAGAACGTGTTTGATGCTGAGATGGTGAGAGATCAATCTGAGTTGACGAAAATGTCTACAGAACCAGTGACTGCTGTTGATCAGGAAGCTCCAAACATTGCACTCCATCCATCTCCACCAAAGCAAAGGTACGCACATCTTGAGCCTAAGCCTAATTCTCGTGATATCATTGGAACTGATTCAAAGGATGCAGGCTCTGTCTCACGACGCAAGCTACGAGATTATCGTAGAGCACTTGGTTTTTCGTTTGATGATATTGCAGGGAATAGGTCAAGGCCACCCAAACACAGATCTCACCCTGGTGCTATTCCTGCATTCCTTGGATGACCTCATGCGCACAACGCTTACATACCACCATGGATGAGACGAATTTCACAGAGGCACTCTTTGCCACTGTCTGATCCACCAGATGCATAGTCTATCCATAGTCAAGCTAATGACTTTAAACAAGCGCTTGGTGGAAGGCAATCCACTGGTGAGTCTGTACATAAGTCTTTTTGTTTCAGTTGATTTTCGTTTTTCTTTTCGTGTCTCAGGTGAAGCAGATGTTAGTGTCGAGCGACACCACCTTCGGTGTCGCTTGTCACTTGCTTCTATTCAAAAAAAAAAAAAAAAAAAAAATTTAGGAAATCAGGCAACCGGAGTCAAACCAGAAATTCGGATTGGTCTGCTGCAATTCGGTACGAGGAAAACAAGTGTCGCACGACACCATCATCAGTGTCGCGCGACACATCATTGCAGCCAGGTAAGTTCTCTGTTTTTCCTGCGTTTCTCTGTTTCTTTTATTTTGTTTCGCCACCTTCGGACTAGATAACACTGGGGACAGTGTTATTCAAGTCTGGGGGAGGTAGTTGCTGACATTGTGTCTGTTTTTCTTAAGAGTCAGTTTTGTCAAAACGTTTTTGAGTCAAAACCTGTTGGAGATCATGATGCTTTTCTTGGAATTATTGTGCTGACCTTTCACCTAAGTGACCACTGCTGCAGATTCAGTCTAGATCCGACTAATGAAAAATCCAAAGGCTGTTGACCAATTGACTAGAGGCGCCCATGTTTCCAACAGAATCCACTAACCTGAGCTAAGTTCTGAACTTCACTTTTAATTCGTTGATGTGACTAATGCCTTAGAGCTTGATTCCTCGTTCGTACTTGATCAATGAAAGCCTGTGTGAAAATTAATGTTGGTGTTT